ATAATCAACAGCATGTACTATATTTCAAAGACAATTCCTTAACAGTTCCTTAAACAAACATGCATGAGTCATTCTATTGTGTTTTCAATACATTCTCCCCCCAGTTAGTGTCGACTCATCAATCATTAAGAGGAAAAGAAAAACCTTTGACTTTAGGCATGAAATAGAACAGAAAGGAATATTCGGTTTTGCTTTCTAACTCCTCCTAAATGTGTCTACATTTTAACTCTTCAAGGGGGATAGGCTTGTTCTACATGTTTTTGTTAATGAAATGGAAAGGAGGAAAGCGATGGTTCTAGATAAAAAAGTAAAAGACCTCTGTCAAGGCTCAGGAGAGGGGAGGGAAATAAAAATCGAATGGAATCTAAGAAAGTTCGTCCCACTTTGATTTCTCTGGTTCCTCATTCATATCATGTTCAAAACTGCCCCCTACACTTTTCTGTACAAATGGGGTCCATTTACTGAACAGATATTTTTCTTTTCTATTCTCTTTGCTAATGTTCCTTATATGCGCAGATCAAGCTTCCCACCTTCTCACACTTACGTTGCTTCTTTTGGCATGTGTTCTGTTTGCCTGCCATATGTAACTATACTTGCAACATTTCCAGACCCAGTTTAAAGTCTGAAATATATTCTCCCCTACACTTTGTATTTTTGCACCTTTGGAACTTGGCATAACTTTTCTCCATCAGAATCTGATTGATCATCTTCTTCTTTTTTTCTTTAGTTAGTTAATTTCAAAGAAGCATTGCCTCTACTTTTATCATTTTTGGCCCAACTCTGAGTTCAGAGAACATAAAAATGTAGCAGTGTATCAGACAAATATCTTTGTAGTGCTGTGGGGGCAATCCTAATAGACAGGTGCTTATGTTCATAGGACAGTTGGATTAGATCAGACAGTATTCGTTTAAGCTTTTCAACTGACTTTGTGTATTGAACCTTCCTCTGCTAAGGAAGGATGCTGTCTCAAGTGACCTTTTACTAATATAAAAATGAAGGTTTGTCAAATGTGAGATCCAATTTATATTGTAATTCACAGAAGTATTATACTTGGAGATATTGTCCCAAAACTAAAATCATGCTTCCTAATTTATCTGATGACTCTCTATGGATGCAGGAAACTATTCTATAATAATTTATATTGCTCACCATGTCACAGATGGACAAGTTTTTATGCAATTATTCCAAATTGAATCTTCTTTCTCCTGCTGGACACCTCCATTTTCTAAGATCAAGGTCAAGTTTTACTCCCTTCACAAATCCCTCTCTGATCACACCCACATTGATCTTAATGCATTAATTGTCTTTCTTACTTTAACTCTTAATTATATATTCTTAAATAGCTTGGAGTACTCTTCCTTCTCTCCATTGCCGGACAAACACATACTTGTTATTTAGGACTCGTGGAGAACATCACCTTCCCCTTGAAGTCACTCGTGACAATTCTCACCCAGGAGAGCAGGTGTTTCCTCGACACTGTTTCCATAGCATCACCTGTGTATGAGAATACAGATGCATCCCTCCAGTTGATAATGTACCTCTGTCTACTTTCTCTCCCCATTGCAGAGTGAGCTCCTTTCCAGTAGGAGGTTCATCATGTTCCACTCTGTCTCACTGTCACCTTTTCCTGTCTGGAAAATTAGGGAAACTCAACATATATTTGAGCTTTTTAAATTTGACATATATTTGAGCTTAATAAATAAATGAACACAAAAGAATAAATAAATGAACATGTAAAGGAATAGATTATTGCAATTTGTGTGTATCAAATAATGACAGATGCATATAAATTAATTCATTATATGTATCAATAAATCAGCTATGTGCATGAATTAATCATTACGTATATTAACTAGAAGCACCAAATCAATTACTAATACATATTAATTAATGGTTACATTCATATTTATTTCTTGCTGAATAAGCAGAAAAAATGAGTACATAAGATACATGAACTCTCCTATTTAACTGAGGGAAGAGATTTTGTTTTATTCACATGTGACATATTTTAACAAAACGTTTTTATTAGAAATACAATTTACTCAACTTTAAGAAAGTTAGAATTTAGGGAAGAAAATAAGGAAGATGTCACTTGGAGGACAAACACCAATACACTCAGTGTTTTAACCATAGCACTTGATATATTTTCTTTACGTATTTTTTATGTAGATATTGTCATGGCTTTACTTTTGCATACTATCATTAGAATGGTTGCATGATACTCAGTGTAACAGAGGGTCATAACTGAACTTATTGAAATCCACCAGCCGAAGATTGTAAGAACCCAAATGAATGAAACAAAATGAGATTTATTTAGCTTGCTGCTGCAAAGGAGAACACTCACTGTTGGAACTGTGGAAGTTCCAGTAGGAGGATTTGGGGGATGGCTTATGAGAGGATTTAGCCTCATGCAGGGTGATTCTAACAGGGCTTACAGAGGAGAGGGCCATTTCTGACTTGGATGCTGTCAGAAAGCAGGGGCAATTTAGAGACTGGTTATACTGGCAATTACTCTCTAGGAGGTGGGAGGATCAAAACAACACTATGTTGTATCGGTAAATCAATGGAAGCCACTAGGGTTAGTACAAAGAGAGGGTTGTTTAGTTGTTTTGTGGTTGCAGAATGTCCTTGTTGCTATATTGTTTCAGGCATGGTGACAAACACATCATGCTTAGGTCATCACTGATATTTAGTGTATGTTTATTACAGCCTTCTCTTACTTCCCATTGTCAGGGCAGTTTTCACTTTCTGAAACTACTTCTTACTGGATATTTAGTTTTCTTCATGTTTTCAATTTTATGATGTAATGCCTTACGTACCATTGTAAATATAGTTTCCTTCTAAAAAACAGAATCTCAGAGATGGCTGTTAGTATCAGACATGTGGTCATTTTTCTTTGTTCTCTTTTACAACCACATTTTCCAGACAAATTGCTATATGTCACTGTTAACAGTAATATGTGATACTGTACCTCCATCATTACTGTGAATTGTACATTTTAAAAATGGATTATTTTAATAGGCAAAGATGGAATCTAATTTTTAACTTGAGTTTCCATAATTATTTGTGAGTTTGATTTCTTTTTTACCTCTGCGTTTGCTCTTTTTGGACTATCTCTTTATGTTGTTTGTTAATTGGGGCCTTGTGTTTCTTATTCATGTTAGCTCTTCCAGTAATTGAAAATACTTTTACAGTTTAGTCAAAAATTTTTTTTTGCATATTAAAATTTTATGTAGTTCTGTAGGTCCATTTTTTCCCTTTGTGGTTTCTGCCATGCCCTTCTTATTTCCGTACATCCTTCCAATGGCCCAAACTTGATTTTACTATTCAGTTTAACTCTTTAATCCATCTGAAATTATTTGGGGGTGAGGTGAGAAATGCAACTTCAAAATATTACTTTGAAAGATATGATCATATTCAATTTCTCAATAATTGCCTTATTCATTTTCTTATACTGACTAGCATCTTTGGACAGATGAATATATTTGTTGATGCTAAAAGCGAATATTGGCTATTTTTGAAAATGGTGTTTGACTAGACAAAATCTGAAGTAATTTCTCCAGGGCAAAAATGTCAACTATTGGCAGAAATCATAGCAGATATTGTGAATAAATGGATGGATAAATAAGAAAGAAATGATTATGAGCATGCAGGAAAATGTTATGGCAACATATTTGAGCTGCATGATTCTCTATAAATTAGTGGATTTAAAATTTCGAAATGAGGTAATTGTGTTTTGCTTTAAGCTGTTAAATTTGGGATGTTACTCAAGAATACTCATATATTAGTTTACTATTTTCCCAAATAATTTTGGTTAAATGTTTATTTGAGAAACAAAGGCAACTTCTCGAAAGAAAATGTGTCAAAAATGTTTGAATCTGAATTTTTGTTGTATGTAATCTTGGTTTTAAGTCAGAGTCATAAAGTTCTATACACTGAGTATGATCTTATAAAAATCTATTGGAGGCTAGGTGTGGTGGCTCATGCCTCTAATCCCAGCATTTTGGGAGGCTGAGGTGGGAGGATTACCTAAGTCAGGAGTTCGAGACCAGCCTGGCCAACATGGTGAAACCCCCATCTGTACTAAAAATACAAAAAAATTAGCCAGGCATGGTGGCATGTGCTTGTAATCCCAGCTACTGGGAGGTTGAGGCAGGAGAATCGCTTGAACCTGGGAGGCAGAGGTTGCAGTGAGCTGAGATCATGACACTGCACTCCAGCCTGGGCAATAAGAGTGAGACTCGGTCTCAAAAATCAATCAAAAAAACAAACAAAAACACTCATAAAATAACTTAGAATATAATCCTTTTTTGGGTATTGTGTACTAACTTTTAGATCTGATTGCAGTTTTGAGGCAAAAACTAAATGTACTCAATAGTAAAATATATATTTAAAATGGTTGATATTTGAGTTTAAATATTTTAATAATTACTCTAACTATTGAGACTAGTAAATATTGAAACCGAATGCCTTTAAGCATCTATACCAACACACATGTCTATTTTATAAGTATCAATACGATTTCATACATTAAGCATATATGTATTTAAAAGCTACGATACTTTCAGAAATGTAAACAATTGCTTTTTGTGTGTGTGCTGAAGGCTTAACTCCACTAGGACTCTTGGCTCTGAATACGACATGCTTTCTTCATTTATGACAATCTTACAGCATCCATTGTGTCCTGCAGCCATTGTGTTGCTCAGTGCTCTCCCTGTGATTAGCTTTCAGAGCACTTCATAAAACATTTTAATGCCACTATGTAGAAACAGATATACATTAATTCCATTTCCAAGGGCTTTTAAGAAATGCAGCTTTATTTTAGGTTGCAGCTGATTTTGAATTGTTACTTTTAGTAGAAGCTTAAAACATAGTTTTGTTTTTTATATTAAAGATCAGGGTTTCAATGTTGCAATCTGGGAAAAAAATTGCAGTGTAACAGTGAAGCATTTTCCTTTTTCTTTTTCGGTCATGGGAAGTAGGGGAAATGCAGTCAACACTCCCTTTGCCATATGCTTCAACTTTCATGTCTGTTTTGCCATCATCTATTCCATTAACATTATGATTAATTGAAAGCTCACTAGAATTTCAAATATCTTGAAAACTAGCCAATGCCAGCTCTTTGGAGGCTACATTGAAAATAAATAACAATAAAAACAGGGTGATTTAGGCTTTTGAAGTGTTTAAAGAAACCATCACTATGATGTTTACTACTGCTGCGGAACAGAGAACAACACTCCACATTTCTGGCATTGTAAAAGACAACACTGCAACTGAAAGAAAGCTTGAATTTCTGGGAGTAGCATTAGGATACAGGACTCCTGCTGAGCCCACCAGTTCCTCGCTCTACACAGCTGCTTTCTCAGCTGGGGTTTTGAAATAAGCGCTGTGAGAAAAGACAGAAATGACCATGATGCATCTTCCTCACTATGAGAAAAAAGGTAATGTTTAATTAACGCTTCAGGCTTCTGGTTTCCAACTTATTCCTGTGTTTGTTTGTATGTTTTGCTTGGGATTTTTGTTATGCTCTCGTTTCTTTTCATTTCATGGAATACAATGCCTAACTAAAAATGTCTTTGTGCTTGTACTTAGGTGAGAAGGATTCTGTACTTCTGGCTTCACTGAAATTAATAAGAGCAGTCTGCACATTTATACTCACAAGATATTAACATGGCTCATGCTCACTTAGCTAAGCTTGTGTGTAACATAGTGAAAATGCCACAAGTGAAAGAGCAGCATCTGACTTGCTAAAAATTCATGGATTTACTTTATCTATTGCCGTCCTATAATATTGTACCATGATGTTAACAATGAGCTATACTTTAAGGCTGGATTAAGTAGTAAGCAAAAAATTATTAAAGCAATAAACAATGCTTTAAATCGTCCAGCCATAAAGAATCATATCATCTCCATTTTAACTTGTTACAAATTGTACTTGGATTGCATAGATAAAAATTAGTTAAAAACACATGAAGAATTCTATTCTTCATAGCTTTATTTAGTTCTGCTTCTTAGACAAAAACCCAGTGGAGTTTTTCATAGCATCCTTTTCATCTCGTTGAGAATACAATTGACTCTTAAACAACAAATGGATTAGGGGCTCTGACCTCTATAGAGTTGAAAATCTGTGTATAACTTTTTACTCCCCCAAAACTTAACTACAGATTGCCTACTGTTGAGTGGAAGCCCTACCAATAGCATAAACAGTCAACATATATATTATATGTGTTATGTATATTGTATACCATATTCTTACAATAAAGCAAGCTAGAGAAAAGAAAATGTTAAGAAAATCAGAAGGAAGAAATATATATTTTTTATTTATTAAGTGGAAGTGGATCATCATAAAGGTCTTCATCCTCATTCTCTTCATGTTGAGTAGGCTGAGAAGGAGGAGGAAGAGGAGGGTCTGGTCTTACTGTCTCAAGGGTGCAGAGGTGGAAAAAAATCCATGTATAAGTGGACATTCACAGTTTGAATTTGTATTGTTGAAGGCCAGTGGTTATTTATTTTACTAACCCAGAATCATCTGCATAAAAAGTACTCCATAATGTGTGCATGTATAAGTGTAGACTTCACTCTGACTTGGGTATTATGAATTACCTCTGTGATTTTTATTAATTTCCTGGTTGGAAAGTTGAATACTTTTGAACTTCAATAATGCTCCTGGGAGTAAAGTTCAGAGGTTGGATGCTTATTGGAAACATGCCAATTTAGTTTTATTTTAATGATTTGAACTAAAATATTGATTGACAACACTTTAGTAATCACTCAGTATAAAAACTGGTCAGCAATTAATTTTACAAACATTCATTGTGTGTCAGGCTTTGGACTTGGCAAGGAAGACAAATGATAAGTATATGGCTCTCACTCTCAAAATCCTTATAGTTCCATTCTTTGGCTCAATAAGCTGTTTTCTGAGGAAGGATCTGACATTTAACTATATTGTTGTACAATCTATGTTGCAGTAGGGTTTTGCAGAATGTATTGAATTACACTTCCAAGTAAAATAATATTTGCCTAGTAGGCAATTGGTCTTAACTGGATTAAGTTTTGCCTACTCATGCTACAACTATTTATTGAATAACTATTTTGTATCAAGCACTGTTGTAAACACTACAGATATAGTAGAAATCAAGACAGAGTCTCTACCCTCGTGGAGTTTACATCCTAGCAGGGACTGGGGAGGAGGAGGTAGCATGCACTTTCACACTTTTTTTTAGTAGGATAATGAGGCAGAGGTGCCCTAGAAATTGAAGCTTCTGACTTGATCCTAAGCAATTAATATGGCTTACTTGCTTTCTAAACTGTACGGCACTGACCCAAAGGAAAATAAAGATCTTCTACAATACTTGTAAGTACTTTCCTAATACTTGCAAGTGATTTTAAAGTCAGACAACAAAAAACTTATAATAATATAATCCTTCCAATTTATGTGTTAAGAATAGTATACAAAAAATATTAACACTATTCATATAGGGTAGTGATTTTAAGTTTTGGTTCAGAAGTGGTTAAAATTTCTTAGCAAGAGTTTACCTGGAGCTTTCCCTTGACCTGACAATTGGCAAAACCCACAGGTTCTTTTGTTTTTTATTAGACAGAGTCTAAAACCTATCACCCAGGTTGGAATGCAGTGGCACCATCTTGGCTCACTGCAAGTTCTACCTCCTGGGTTCATGCCATTCTCCTGCCTTAGCCTCCTGAGCAGCTGGGACTACAGGCGCCCACCACCACTCCCGGCTCATTTTTTGTATATTCAGTAGAGATGGGGTTTCACTGTGTTAGCCAGGATGGTGTCGATCTCCTGACCTCGTGATCCACCTGCCTCGGCCTCCCAAAGTGCTGGGATTGCAGACGTGAGCCACCGCACCCAGCCAACCCACAGTTTCTCAATGCCTGCTGAAATTGCTACACACTTTCTGTGGGTCTGCTTTGGTTACTATGACAATGCCCACCACAAAAAGAACTTGAAAAACATTTATATGTGGCTTTATGTCACCTCTCTTTTTCATTTTGGATAATTCATATTTCCCATTTTAAGATTGCAGTGGAATACATGTTTTCTATTTTCTTTATCTTTTTTTTGTTTGTTTCTTTCTTTCTTGATTTGTTTCTATTTTTTCTGTCTATTTTCAGATAGGCATCTAATGTTTTTGGCTCACACTAAAGTATTTTAAATTCATTTCTCCATTATCATTTCTGCCATAACAGTTGGAAAAAACTTAAGTTTTTATGTCCCCAGCCTCTTTTGCAGTGAGAGCAGCCATATGCTTTAGTTCTGGAAACTAAGACACGGCCCGAACTTGCTAAGAGCTCTAGGAAGGATTTTGCTTTTCCTCATGTCAGGGCATGTTATAAGGTATTACCTGATATAATCCCTGGCATGGCTCCTCCTTCCTTCTTTCTTGAAGGCAAATTGGAATGCTGAAAGCTACTGCAGTCATCTTGCAACCAGGAAGCAAACATGAGAAATCCCAAGATAATTTCAGAAATTATCAAACCAGTGAACCAATGCTAGCTGCTTCCCTCAAGACGACTTGTTAAGCCAGAAAAAGTATCCAATATTTATTAAGCCACCCACTCTATATAGTGCTTCCTGTTATTTTCAGTTGGAAGCATTCCTAATGGATGATGCCACACACATAACATGCATAAACAATTGTTAGTCATTATTGAAAGTTGAGCATTAGGCTGTACATTAAAACACAACAATGAAGGCAAAATGCAATTCTCATCTTGAAGAAGCTTATGGTGAACATTTTATAAGTTAAGCCAATAAGAATCAAAAGCCCTTCGGATATTAGTTGCAGGTCTGTAACTAATCTGGACTGCTATGTTTCTTACTGATTCTTGGCGTTTGTTTTCTCATACATAAAACAAGGGATTGCATTATTTCCAGGGTCTATTGCAGATATACATTTCCAAGTTTGTTGAATAAAATGTATTTTAAATCCATGGATTTGTAACACTTCCTGTCAAATGGTATTTTAACATTTGTATTCCATAGATAATTTGGATGCAAAAGAAACCTTTGTGTATTTCCTGTTCATGCTTAGGATTCTGTGCATACTACATTGAAAAAACTAGGCTATGAGTTTGAGCATTTTGATATGCCATCCTAAAATTTAATTTACTTGGCATTCCAGAATGGAGTTTATTTATTTACCTATGGAACAGCATAAATAGAATACTGGGGAATATCTTTCAGGAAGAATTTTTCCAAGAAAATCTACACAACTTCAGTAATTTTCTTCCCTTTTAGGAGCACAAAATTCAGACAAAAATAATTCCATTAATACGGAGGTATAGCTGATGCACTAGGCTTTCCAGCTTTTTTGTGATATGACTGAACAAGTGTATGAAATTGCCAGAAAGCATTTTCATTGCTAGCAGGAAAGGTATTTTAAAATTGTGCTCAGGAGGCATAAAGGACAACAAATAAAGTGTTGCTATACTGTTTAAAAGATTATGAACGAACGTGAATTAATGGAAGAATTGATCATAAACAGCATGAATTTCAGTCTACTATATGTTTTCATCTCATTTTGCAATAACAAGGGGTTATGTGCACTGACCAAATGTCAGTTGCTCCAACCAAGTCTTGATATTTTTTTTGTCATGATATGTTGATGCTTAATTCTAAATTGTAATTTGGTTGGTGTTGGAAACTGAGGTGTACAAAGAACCCATCACTGGAAATAGAAACAAGGTAAAATATAAAAGAAAGAATTGATAGCTAGCACAGGAATTTAACACAGAAAATGGAAAAAAGCAAAGAAGAAAGAATGGCGTGTGCGTGTGTGCGCGCGCGCGCATGTGTGCACGTGTGCATAGGCAGACATGTGGAGTAATTAGGCAGGGAGAGTAAAAGTGCTTCAGTGTAGAGGTCGTGTCCTTTTTATGAGATGAGGAAATTATTTCTGGACAATTACCATTACTCCTTGTTTTCCAGAGTAATACGCAGTCCACGGGCTGGAGAGCCAATCTGGTACTTAAAAAGCAGGGATTCTTGCTTTCTTTGAAGCAGCGTACTATCTCAGGGTGGTGGTTGAGTACCACAGAAACAGAGATGCATGTTCTCTACATGCTGGAAGCAGTCATCCTGTTGCTAAGGAAACAGCCTCACTCAGTAAGGGTCACCTTTGGAAACAACTGCAAGACTTCAAAGCAGATCAATAGAGAAACACCAAGACCTGAGCTTCCTAGCTAATGCTGTCTCTATTTTAAATATCCTTTTCAACAAATGTTTACTTATATGATTTCTGTTTAGTGGGCAGTAGCAAGGCAAAATTGAATGTGTAATAAATCGAGACCAGTATTCTTCAAGCTCTGGCTCTTGGAGATCTGTGGTTTTTGATAGATGCTTTGAGTGTGGGATTGTGCAGGAACAGCAGGATGGAGATGGACTGATACCAGGTTTAAAAAGAGATGCTGCATTTAT